AGGCAATCCACTCACCTCAGCCTCCCAAAGGCGCAGGATTACAGGCTGAGCCACTGAGCCCAGCCATGCTTGTAATTTCAACAGTTTGGGAGGCCAAGTGGGAGGATGTCTTGAGACCAGAAGTTTAAGACCAGCCTGGGCAACAGAGTGAGACTCTCGTTACAAAAAATAAAAAATTTAGCTGTGCATGGTGGCACATGCCTTCAGTCCTAGCTACTCAGGAGGGTGATGCAGGAGGATCACTTGAGCCCAGGAGTTCCCGTGTGTGGTGAGCTGTGATTCTGCCACTGCACTCCAGTCTAGGTAACAGAATGAGATCCCAAGTCTCTGAGTTTGGAAAAACCACCATCAGGAGTGCTCTAGGGACAAAGAGAACAATTCCTGGCTAGTGTCCAGGGCTCAGCTGAGGGTAGAGGTAGTGATTTGTGGATCTGACTTTTGCAGAGCCTCAGACGGTTGGGTTACAATAAGAATTGGGGATCCATCAATTATTCAACAGGGAGAAAATGAATAGACAAGGGAGGGTCCCAAACATTAAAGAAAAAATATAGTATCCATTAGACTGTCAAACCAAAGGCAGAAAAGCAGTTCTGTTTGGAAGAGGGTGGGTCTGGACTTTAAGATTTCAGGAGGAGGCCAGGTGCAGTGTCTCACACCTATAATCACAGCACTCTGGGAGGCCAAGGTGGGAGGATCTCTTGAGCCCAGGAGTTCAAGACTAGCCTGGGAAACATAGCAAGACTTCATCATCTCTACAAAAAAATAAAAAAATTAGCCTGGAGTGGTGGTGTGTGTCTGTTATCCCAGCTACTCAGGAGGCTGAGCTGGAAGGATCTCTTGAGCCCAGGAGTGAGCAACAGAGTGTGACCCTTCAAAAAAATGAATAAGCCAGGTGCCAGGCGCGGTGGTTCAAACCTGTAATTCCAGAACTTTGGGAGGCTGAGGCGAGAGGACTGTCTGAGTCCAGGAGCCCGGCTTGCCCAGCAATTTTTAAAAAATTTATTTATTAGCCGGGTTCGATGGCTCAGCCTGTAACCCCGCGCCTTTGGAAGGCTGAGGTGAGTGGATTGCCTAAGGCCGCGGGTTCGAGACCCGCCTGGGCAACTTGGCAAGACCTCATCTTTGCAATAAATCAAAAAACTAGCCGGGCGTGGTAGCGCGCGCCTGTAGTTCCAGCTACTTGGAAGGCTGAGGCGGAAGGATAGCCGGAGCCCAGCAGGTCG